AAGGGGTTTTCAGGGTTTGTGTGTGTCACTTTTTGAGGGCCTTTTGCTAAATATTTGACAGTCCTTGCATTTGTATTATGGTGAAATTTATTTATTTATTATTAATAAATATTATTATTTATTTTAATTCAAGTTTTAGTTTAGTGTTTTGGTCTTTTTTTAGTTTTGATGTTGTTACTTTTTTATTTTAATTTAGGTTCTTTATTTCTATGTTTCTATTTCTATTTTTCCCCTTCTGTTGTTTTAGGTTTTATTTAATTTTAGTCTATGTATTGTTCAAAAGTTTGAGTTCGATAAGATTTTTTAATGTTTTTTAAAAAAGTCTCTTACAGTATGATCACCAAGGGTGCATTTGTTTGATGCAAAAAAATACAGTAACATTGTGAAATGATTTTAATATATTATAAAATGTTATTTATCCTTGTGATGGCAAAGCTGAATTACTGCAGTCTTCAGTGTCACATGATCCTTCAGAAATCATTATAATACACATTTAGACAGTCTATCATTTTGTAGCCATAATGGTGCAGTTGACTTATCAAAGGCTAATCCTGCTGGGTCATCTTTTTCTGTCTGCTGTTTACGTAAATAAGGTAATAAGGATAAATATTTTAGCATGTGATACACTGTTTCTCTCGATTATGATTCTGTGTCTTAGACGGCTTCTAAGCATAAATAGGCAAATCACTTTTTGTATTTATTTGCATTGATTTAGAGTGAGATTTCTGGCTAAAATAGACTGTTACTTGTTGCTTGTATATTTACTTAGTCAATACCTTTTGGAAGTATGTGGTTTATTGCATGGAAATCAACAGAAATACAGATCAATTTCTCAGAAGGATGATATTTCTAAAGCCCCACGCTGATTATAGATACGCTTCCTCAAAACGTCTGATCATAGAAAATATGAAAGGGAACATACACTACTGTTTTTTGTTTGTTTGTTTTTGTTGGTTTTTTTCAAAGTTTTCAGTTTCAAATAAATGATGTTCTTTTGAACTTTCTATTCATCAAAGAATCCTGGGAAAAAATGATGGTTTCAACAAAAATATTAAGCATATTAGAATTATTTTCAACATTAATAATTAGGAGAAATGTTTCTTGAGCACCAAAGCAGCATATTAGATTAATTTCTGAAGGATCATGTGACACTGAAGACTGGAGTAATGGCACAGGAATACATTTTAAAATATATTAAAACAGAAAACTGTTATTTTAAATTGCAATAACTGACCATATTTTACTGTATTTTTAATCAAATAAATGCAGCCCTGGTGAGCATAAGAGACTTCTTTAGAAAATATTTAAAAATCCTAAATACTTACTTCACATAAAAAAAAAGCATATTTAGCATATTTTGCTGCTTTTGTGGCTCTGTGTTGTTGTACATATTATTGGATGGATTCTGCATTGCTAATGTGTTTTGTGTAGTTGTTAGGCAATGCTTGGTGGTTGCTAAGGTTTTAAGAATTATTTTATAGTGTTACTATGCAGTTGCTAAGGTGTTCTGTGTGGTTACTAACATACTCAGAGTGATTTCAATGTTTTGCTATGCAGTTGCTATGGTGTTTTAGGTGGTTACAAGGGCATTAATAATAGAACATCTCTTCTCAGCAAACCATACGATTTTAGATATAATTCATGTCCAATGTACAAATTGAGGAATGAGTTATGAGAGTCGCTAACCTAACCCTAAGTATGAAAAAATAGTAACAGTGACACTTGCCTTAGCAAACACCATTATTTTAGAATTGGCTACTGGTGACTGGGGGTATTAGAATGACATATAAATAATACTTATTCTACACACCTTTCTGTAATAATACACTAGATACCATAAGGCATCATTTTAATATTTTGGTCACACTTTTAGTTTGGGGACAAATTCTCACTATTATCTAACTATTAACTACATCTTTTGCCTCAATAAACTCCTAATTTGCTGCTTATTAATAGTTAGTAAGGTAGTTGTTAAGTTTAGTTATGAGGTAGGGTTAAGGGATGTATAGTCATGCAGAATAAGGCATTAATATGTGCTTTATAAGTACTAATAAACAGCCGATATGCTAGTAATATACATGCTAATAAGCAACTAGTTATTAGAATTCCTCCCTAAACTAAAGTGTTACCACTATTTCTAGAATTCATCAATATGGGGAAATCGTGGCCTAATGGTCAGAGAGTCGGAGGATGGGTTAAATGCAGAGCACTAATTCCAAGTATGGGTCACCTTGGCCACATGTCACGTCACTTTATTTGTCAGGTTTTCCTTTGTTTTCACACTTTCTCTCAGTACCAATCAATTATAACACTTTATTTAATTTTAAAGGAATTGTTGATACGTGTGAAAGTATGAATTAAATCACTAAAAACTTTTATTTTCCATTTTTTTCGTTAATTAGATAGCGTTGATCACGTGTTGCCATTATAGAAAGTGGCTCCTCATCTGCTCAGTGTTACAGTGTTACAGTGCTCGTGAAAAACTCGACAGCAGATAATTAGTCATGAGTTGTGGTGACATGCACTGGCTCTCATGCACTCATACTTGGGCTAATAAAGGCTACTGCAGTCTAGCAGTGGTGCTGTTTAGTGTTAGTCTCTGCAGAGCTTATGACTACATACTATTAGTGTTGGAGATGTTACTTTGAAATGGTACAAGCTGCTCATAATGTAAAGCAGCTACAGTCAAACAACTAAAAGTTACGTAGCTACTAACACAAAGTACACTAAAGCCATTTAAGGAGTCAGTATAGTTTTTTTTTACAAATAATATAGATATTATTTAGCATCTTACTTCCTAAACTTTTGTTTAGTTTATTTGCAGGAATTCAGTCTAGAATATCAAGAGAAAGTTTAGGCATAGCATGTTCTGTTCAATCCCAAAATCATCATTGACGGTCAAACAGACCGCTTGATATGCTGATAAACATGGAATTTCTCCTCATATAGATGTCTGATGCAGAGTCTCTTTGATCTTTATTGTGCACTTTTATAGTCTTTTATAGTGTGGAGGGAGTGTATTTGTTTGAATAGCATCAGCACTAGCAGCAGAACGAGTGTATGAGCTCTTTAGTCTGAGTGTGACTGAGTGTGATTCATATAAAGGCAAGGCTGTGCCTGGAGTCATTCAGCCTGAATGGAGCGTAACTGGGACCACCCACTTTTTCAACAACCTTGGTTGAGGAAGAATTTTTCCCATTAATTTACTCCATTGGGATTTTTTTTTTTAATTCTGAAGAGATCCAAGATTAAAAATGCATTCAAAATTATTTGAAGATAGAAGACAATATTGCTGCAGTTGACTATATAGTATGCGAAGAAAATGTCTGCCAAAAGAGTCATATGTCCGAATTCATTCGAAAAACAGTATCCCATGAGGCCACGGGAGTGGATCTATGAATGGCAGTCAAGCGACGCAACTGTCACTGTAGGTCACAATGACAATATCAACATGGCTGATGTAGTACATCTAAATTTCATACTGTATAGAACATACTTTTTTAAGAGTTGTAAAGTAGTTCAAATTTGAATGTAGTACCTACTGAGTATATGATTTCAGATGCACCACATGTCTTTTATACAGCAATGAACTACACATTCCAAGATGCATTGTGAATAATGTAATCAAATCATGATTCATTGAAAAATACTAATTAATGATTGTATATTTAATGTAATTAAAGTTAGTTTTCTTTGTGTAGAGTCATTTGCAATGCTTCATAGGAGTAGGAGTTCATTACAGATACTATTTGGCTTGCTTCTCATTGACATGCTAACAGCAGCTTCTCTAAATTGGTGGATCCAAGACGGATCTCTCTTCAAGAGTAGTGTGATTCTTTACTAGAATTTTGGCCCTTAAAAATATTTTAAATTATTTAAAAAAATTAAGAAAGAAAATTACCTTGAAATCACATTCATGGGGTCTGCATAATATATTATCATTTAACAATAAAAAATTTTATAAAAATCATTGTCTCTAAGGAAACAATTAATGGTGTTTTTACTTCAGGAATCCTTTTGCTCTATTGGATTTATGAGTGAACATGAGTGACTTAAACACTATATGGCACTTGTTTCTTTATGTGACAAAATTTTAGCTTGCTCTCTGGAGAAAATGGCTTATTTAATTGCAATTTGTGTATATTTTCATGCGTGATAATAAGCTGTAAGTGGGTTGTGATTCTAATGAAGGCTATTTCTGCTCTGTTCTAGTGTTTCCTCCCTAGAGATGAAGGGATGAGGCAGGACAGGTATGCTAACCACACACTGCTACAAGTGCTGCAGCTCATAATAAGTTTAGACATCCTCAGCCCACGGCAAGTGTGAAGCACTGCTAAAAAGTGGTTTTTGTATGAATTTGTAAGGGCAAAGTGTGTCCTTGGGTGAAACACTAAACTATTCAAAATGACAAAAAGACAGTCTTTGACCTTTCCACCTGAAAGCGGCACGTGGTACAACCCGAACCGCAAGAAACAAAGTACAATACTGACAGTGCTGTATAACAGTACAAAGAAAGAATTGTTCTCAAGTGTCAAAACTCAAGCAATTGTTATCCACAAGTTGTCAGAGTTGTGTGAAATCAAAAACGTATCTTAGACAGGTGTTTGGGAGTTGCGATCCATGTATGTGAAATCCGTCAATGACACGTTGTGATTAAAAATGAATAGCGCATTAGCAAGTTATTAACGTTCATCATGCGGCTA